GGGAAAGAGAGAGAGAGAAGGGATGCGGAGGTGGAGACTGGAGAGTATCTCTCTTTCTCTCTCTCCTTATCCTGGGGGAGCTTCCATTATTATTTAATCTGCGTTAATTAGTGTAAGTTTTTTTTTTTTACATTATGGTTGCTTGGCATTTTATTTATTTATTATTTATTACTATTTATGACTGTTAGTAAAAATTTAATCTGCGTAAATGTTTTTTTTTTATTGCAGAAATTAGAACAAAGGTGAGAGAGACCAAAAGATAAGAGAGACACTCCAAACGCTACTAAAGGTGCATAATTCGCTTTTTTTTAAAAAAAAAAAACTCTCTTTATATTCTTTTTCCTTTTGGTCGCATTATATAGCAAAAAATAGTATGCGACAAAGTCATTTAATTCCGAACAAGTTATAATAAATTTACTATATATATATATATATAGATTATATAAGCAGACTAAATTATGAATGTTTGGTTTTGGTAATGAGAAAGTCACAAAAACGGGGTTAAGTAGCTTTCAAGGCATCAAATGGTAGGTGAAGTGCTGCCGAGGGGAATAGGTAAAGGGGACGAAACTATTCTTTTATAAATAAAAAAAAATTACCCAATTAATCATTTTAATTTTTATCCAACAAAATACAATTTCTTTAAAAGAACCTCGACCACACTCGATATCGGTGGACACGTGTCCAGTGGGTTATGGGACTTGTACTAATCTCCCCCACGAATTCAAGATTTGCCATTCTGCTACGAATTAGGCTTACATTGCGATTCCGTGGTATTAAAATTCAATTAGAGTATAGTTCCATTTCATATCTCTTATATACATATATAGACAATATAGTCGTTATGCCTACGCTTTGGGTTGGAGTTTCTGTCAATTAGATCAAGTATGAGGATAATGCTGATTTACTTATTTATTTCTATAATTGTTTTTTTTTCATTTGTGATAATCAATAACAACATTGTATGATCTCCGGAAAAAGGTACAATATTTATCCAAAATACATAATTAGAACTGTCTCAATTTAGAAATATTTATTTTATTTTATTTTGATTTGTAATGGGATTCATTTGTTCCACATTATAGCTCTTAATAGAACTGACTATCAACCTATTATTCTTAATTATTAATTTTCATTATTATCAGCAAATTTAGCTAATTGATTTAACCTAAACTTTTGGAAGCAATGATTATCATCGTTCAAAGGTGGATGAATTATAGATGGTTGCATGAGAAATAATGACCCTTTTGGTAGGTCCATGGTAGCTAAAAATCAGGGCATAGATGATGATAATGTTTGCACATTAATACTTGTTATATTATGTCCCATTTCATGTTCTTGTAAGAAAACCCTAATTTGTTTTTTCAAACCAACCCAAAACCAAGTGTTCCATGATAAGTAACTAAAGTGTGCCTCTCTCTCTCATCTTCTTTCTCTTTGTATATTTTTTGGGAAAATAATTTTTGATAAAAAGTTATATCTTACTTGTATATAAAATGGACGCATTAAATTAAATGAGAAAGGGAAAAAAAGGAGAATACAAAGTGAGTGTATAAAAATGGAATACCATATTTATAGGATGACTTCTGTTGCCAATTCATGAAAAAAAAAATACTTAAGTTATTGGATTATTGGCCTTGTACTTAGTCATTGTTATTTGAATATTTGTTCTACAACTTGAAAGATTGCAAATAAATATGTTCCATATATATATATATAATTATTTTATTTGATAGATGTTTTATTAATTTAAAAGTTAGGGACAGGATGGTCCTTGTCTTAAAATAAGGTATGGATACATGTTAACACACCAACTTGGCATTATATCAAAAATACATTTCCTTTACTTTTTTTATTTCAACATATATCATTTCAACTGTGATCATATAATCCAAAAGATAGTGTGTTAACATTTTGATTTTATTAATTATAACGTTAAATTTATGGTGTTCACACTAATTCATTATGTTCATACCTTATATATCTTACTAATTATTTGATTAAAACATCATAAATTTAACGTTATGAGTAATGAGATCAATATGCGACCACATTATATTTTAGATCACATGATCACAATTGGAAAAATATATGTGTTGAAGTAAAAATAGTAAAATAAGTGTATTTTTGATAATGACTCCAAGTTTACATTGAAAGACGGTCCAAAAACCACATGGTAATGTATTTTTTTTTTTACGTAATTAAGAGATTGATGATATTCAAGAAATGCCTTTCCCGACATGAGGTGGGAGGGAGAAGTAAGAGTACTTTCTTAAGGTCACAGTAGCAGTTGGAGGAATCTAATTTAGATGCGTACGTATGCATATATATTCACGTGCTAGTCACGTGGTGGCAATTCCAAGATTTCAATATTCTTATTATGGATAGAGAAAAAGAAAAAGATTCCAAATGCTTCAGCTTCAGTCCAAAGTCACTCATATTATATATAAACATACACAATAATGACATATTGTAATAAATAAATTTTAAAAAAAAAACTAAAAAAGGCAATGCTACGTGCTTTGTCAAATGCCGTAAGGAACACAACATACAAAGGCTATAATAAATTGGTTTTATTTTATTTTCCAAAAAGAATAGAATACAAATAGGTGAGGCGTATTTAAAATTGTAAAAGGACGTTGTGGAATGCTTATTACGGCGCTTCTCTCGTCCTTTTCCTCCCCTCTCTCCAATATCTAGTCTGCCTAAATTCCTAATAAATCGGGGTCTAGTTTTAGAATTTCATTGCGGTTTATATCCAAAATTATATAAAAAAATACCCTCTCTTTTAATAATATTACGACTATATCCAAAATTTCAATCGGGTTATACAACCTAAACACGAATTTGGATAACTTTGAAATTCTCGAGATAAGATTTGACGCTGGTTAAGCTCAATTATTCACCATTAAACAACTAAGGGGTGAACATTTCGGTTTGATTCTTCGGAACAGGAACATAATTCCGTTCGCAAACCGAATCATAAAAAATCCTTACCGGTTATATATTTAGAGAACTAAATAAACCAAGATCGAACCGAAATGGATATTAAAACCAGAAGAAACCGAAAACTTCTTAAAAAACTAGACATTCGTGACAAACATATTATAATAACCGAATGGTACAATTTTTCTTAACCAAATAAGTATCGAACCGAAACCTAAAACGGCCACCCCCACTAGAAACCGGGATCAGACCTATGATTCTAACAAAAGGCTCATCAAATCCCATGGAAGATACCTAAAATGTTTAATGAATTATCTATCATTCAAGATCTTGAGGATGGGCTTGCTCACGAGCAATAGAGGCCGAGAGAATTCCGAGGTCACGATTCAGAACTGTCAAAGCAGCTTCACATTCCCATACGATTCTCGTCACTGATGACGGATCTCCGGCCACTGTTTCCCACAACCCTACTGCCAGTGCTGCATGTGAACCCCTCAGACTCTTCATGTTTCCCAGGAACTGTCTCCAAACAATAAGGGAACTCGCATTCAGAACTATATATCACACAGCCATTTCGGCTCATCGTGTTGTATATATTCCCGCACGATCGTATATAGCTACCAGGGAATTGGGTGCAAGGAGGAATTTCAAAAAACGGGTTTCGGTTAAATTCTGCTTAATGCCTCCAGTTTGGTATGAAAATGAAGTATTAGTAGAGAGACAACATTAAAGTACCTTTAAGAGCATCTTATATGCTTCTAACAAACGGTTAGCGGCAGGACCAAACCCGTGGAGCTGAGGCACTTCCATCATGTGTGTCCACGGCCGAATTTCCTGCAAAATCGAAAAGCATAGACATCAAAGATAGGGAGTTGTCCATTGTTGATTCCAGAAATACGCGCTAGGTCACCAAAGTTGTGAAAAGAAATCGATTACACCCGACACTTTGCTGTAGGAGAAGAGGAAACAGAGGACAACTATTTAGTTTCATTAAGACTCTTGACGGATTTAGAGTTCACGAGAAATTCCAAACTCAACACATTCACATTACTTCGCTGCCATTCTAAGTACTCAAAACTCTGAGATGTCTTGGATCTTCCATAAGATTTTATCTTAACTCAATCCAGAGCAATCGAAAGAGGATCATGAGATGAACAAATCTATCAATATCATGACTGGAAATGGAATCACAGTCTCGTACTGTACCTTTGTGTAAATTGTATTGAAAGCCCTAGCAGTTTCGAGAAAAGATTCCAAATGGGCCCGTAGTTGCGACTCCACTTCACTATATTCTTCGTCTGGGTTATAAGCATGCTACAAGCAGAGAAACAAAGAAACTGACCATGTTTAGTTTAAGAATCAGGATATAAGGCTAACGTGAAGCAAAGGCACATTGATTTCCAGCGAGAATATCGATATGCAAAACTTTAGATACACCAAGGGAAAAGACCTCCTATCAACGAGTAAATTGGAAGTAGGATCATGCATGTATGAAACAAAATCTGATTCTGACCGAATGAGAAAGTTGTCCACTTGCAGATCAAAACAACAACAAAACATTGAAATATGAAGCTAACAAACACACCTTCGCTGCCAAATCATCAACTTTCTGTTGAAGATTCGAGAGTATCTTGGTCTGCTCTGCAAGTTTTGTCACTAGCTCCGAAACATCTGGTCTGCAGATAAACTTTGATTAAAGGAACATAATGTCACTACATTGGCTAAAATATGGAACTGCAATCCAGGAACTTGGGAAGTACTGTCAGATTTGATCATTGACGGAATCTCCATACAACTTAAAGCTCGGTTTAAGACTAAATAATCAACACCATAGGTGCTTTAGAAGTATCCTAGACAATGACATCATCCCAAGAATGACCCATGCGCATTTGGTAAAAAATTTGAACAAAACAATTCGGGTAGAATTGATAATAAAACTAACTGTTCTTCGTGTGGTTGATTTTGAAATGGTTTTAAAAAAAATATTCCACTATACCATGAGCTGCAATCAGAACAGACTCAACAGAGTATAATGGAAGAATTTTTTGTATGCCTGATAGAATAAACCAAAACACAAAATAACTTGGAGGAAAGAATTCTTACAATGGATAAATGGACTGGATCTGCACATCAGCAGGGAACAGCTTGCATTCTTCAGAAAATATCAGTGATTGTCTCCCCGCTATAGCATCTATGAGCTGAATGTCTTTGGCAACCTGTTCATCGATACTGAGGAATAAGGCAAAACCATTGTTATGCACAAAGAACAAAACCAAATTCAGGACAAGAATGTAGAAAGTTGATAGATAAGTTATGCTCGAATGATACAAGTTAAGAAAGAGATGAGAGGCATCTCCACCTCCATTCAGGATTATCCGAGCAGAGGCTTGCCTCCACTAGATCAACAACATGACGAAGCATTTCCATTCGGTCTTCATAGGTTCCATGTCCCTAAAACAACAAAAAAATTTAATTGCAGATTCAAGGAAGATAGTTTTAAAAACAAAAGAAAACTAGAGTCATGCTTGCATGATTTAGACCATTTAATAGGACCAAAATTCTCGGATTTCTACATCTCATGGGACATGAAAAGATAAGAGCAAAGGCAAGACCTATTTAAGGGCACGGCACAAGGGAAGAACTAGCAATGTTAGCCAAGAAAAAAAGATTTCTGCATTACACGACACGAAGCATCATACCTGAATAGCTTCTATATCTACAGTTGCTGTAATACCCAGAAACTTTGCAATCTCTGCCAAATCTGAAACCCAGAGATGATAATGGAGAATAAGAGAACTTCACAACAGGTACCACGACATCAACTGAAGCAAGTCAACCTATGTATGAAACTCGGTACCATCAGTGAAGGCAAGTAGCAAGAGTTGTGTTCGATTACTATACGCCTGACTGGAAAACGATAAATTTACAAGCTTTGGCAACCTGCAGCTTCGAATCTCGAGATTTACCGCAACTAATCAATTGGAAACGCATAACCTATGACACTATGTACCTCTCCAAGCTTAATGAAGAATCAAGAGAACTGATAGAGACTACAGAGAAAAGCTTACACTGAATACGGACAGTTTCTTCGTCACGAACACCGCCATCTCCTTGAAGATTTTGCTGAGAAAAAGGCGATTTATCACCCAATAACCTTCAAGATGATAGAACAAGTAAGTAAAGCAAGTAAGCCACCTCTACTAAAACGCAAACTCCCCAGTGAATCAAACAATTCAAAAGCATAAGATACTCTACTATAACCCAATAACTAACAAAACCCACTAAAATTTTGGTCAACCTCGAGAATGAAAACGCATCAAAATGCTTGAATGTATCAGATCGTAAATTTCCGAAAAATTTTCCTGCATTTTCTGGGAGACCAGACAGCAAACTCAGACAAAACGCATAGATCAGAGGAAGATGGAGATGGAAGAGCTGTACTTGAAAAAGAGCCATTCGAGAAGAGCGTAACGCTCCATGCCGGCGAAGAGGAGAGACTGAGCAGGAGCATTAGCCCTTGGGTAATTCAGCGTCCCCAGCTTCTTCTGTACCTCTCCCATCTGTTTCGCCGCCATTTTCCTCCCCTCCACTGATTCCGGCGACTGCTCCGACACCGATCCGATCTGGAGATCAACCAAATTCTCTCTTTCTCTGGGCTCCGAGAAAGTTTCTCGTCAAACCTCGGGCTTTGGGCCGTTTGTTATCTTTCAAAACAAAAAGCTAAAGAACGACTTCGGGTTTCTTTTCCCCTCGATATTTATTGGATCCGGTTCCGTAGTTCGGAACTGTTTTTCGACCGATTTAATTTTGGTTTAGTTCGGTTCGGTTTTAAACCAAATTCTCGAACCTAAATGTTCACCAATAGTTTTTCTAATATGTTGTTTGTAATTAAAAAAAAAAATTTGACTTGATCCATTCTTAACAACCCTGATCTCCCCATAACCGGTGGTTTGTCTCTCCTAACTTAACTTCAGACAGTTAATACTTCGAACAAAAACAATCTTACAACGGAAAGTTATGAAGAGGCAACAATAAGCCCCAAAAATTAAAGCCCACTTATTTTCTAATTATTTTGCAACGGAAAGTTATTCAAAATCTAAATCTTAAGAACATGTTTAGACAAGTGAGAGTACAGAGGTGATGATCATAGGCCTTGAAAACAATGGGGAACGGACAGCGTCTTTGACATCGATGGCACAGCGGTCGGAAACAGCTGTTGTTGGCGACGACTTCGAATTTCCCCCACGGGTCGGAATAGCCACCCGTCTTAATCAGCGGATCCTCTCCGAGAATGCAGTGGACATGAACAGTGACACAACAGCTTCCGCACGTATAGTACAATTCCTCGTCCGGATTCAATTTCCTCTCGCAGATTTCGCACCAAAAGCTCTCGCCTTTGGCCCCTTCACCACCTCGGCCTTCAAGAACGAGAGGGTGTCTATCTTGCTTGTACCTTACCTTGGCTGGTAAAGCTATGCACCTGAAACACAAGAGGAAGTCGCTTTCGATGCACTCCATCATTTTACGGTTATAATTTCCCCATCCTCTACAAACCGAGCATCTCTTGTCCTCCGTCGGAACTGACGCGGGGATTAGAGGATGCGGATGAATTATATGAATAAAGGGTTCGGAGATTGAAGCGCAATTCGCATCAACCTGAAAACCGCAATTCTCTTCGCAACACGTATATACGAATCCGCTGTAATCCCGAGCACATACAGAACATGTATTGTTGCAGTTTCTGCAGGGCTTGAGTGTCAGACGGTGGGGATGTAGCATGTACCATGTCTTTCTCGGTAGATTTGCACATGTTTCGTGGATAACGAAATCGCAATCACCTGTCATGCAGCCATAGAAATTGCCGGAGTGGATACGAATAGGAAGACCGCATGCTTGACAGTGCTCGCTCCCGTCAAAGCCTGCATCGTCCTCGTCCTCTTTCAGTTTAAGATGGTGATGCTCGTGGCTGAAATGGCGTATGACTTTGTCATCTATAACCTCGAATGGGTTCTCGACATCTTCGGGTTCTTCCGGCACTCCATAGAGGTCTTTCCCATCCCACACATCTTCTCTTATAGCACACTTTGAGTGAACGACATAACGACAGTCGTCTTTGATGCAAGAATACGCACCGTATTGGTTGTGGGCGACTTTGAGACAAACTCCGCAGGACAATGATGACGATTCATGGGCTGGAAGAGGAGGAGAGGGAGTGAAACGGATACGATGTGGGTGGCGAGAGATCCTGATGAGGCGTGGTAAGTCGATACAATCTCTATGGATCATGACGCCGCATTCGAGACAAGCCCAGGGAAGAGAAGGGCCGTCGAGCAGTAACGCGCAGGCATCACAGGTGAAGGGACGTGGTTTAGGGAGGAGGAAGAGCTTGTGGTCGTGGCTCTTGGGCTGGTCCACCTCAAGAACCGGTGGCTCCTTGGCGCAACGGAGATGAATGATGAAACTGCAGATAGGGCAGTGATAGACCCATCCTCTCCCGAGCCGTTTTCCGCAGCAACTGCATGTATCAGAAGATTCAGAAGGAGAGAGGGGGCGGAGGGAGAGAGGGTGGGGAGGGTGATAAGGGTGGTGATGGATCTCCAATGGCGACTCAACGCATTCCTTGTGGAGATTACATTCGAAGCAAACAGTGCACATGTAGCCTTCGATCCTGGAGGAGTTGGGCTTAGAAAAGCACATGTGGCACTCGAGCTCTGAAATGTTGTTAAAGTGTGTCAAAGGGTGAGGGTGGTACGGAAACTTTACCATCTCCTTCTCCTTCTCCTCCATGGCTGTCTGATTTTTGAGATGATGGTGTTATGGTTATGGATCTCTCTCCCTTTCTATCTCCTTATATATATATATATATATATATATATCTATATATGTATGTATGTACATGCATCGGACCATTTCATTCACTTCCTCAGATTCATTAAGATTGCACATTCCTCATCATTATGCATAAAGCTTCTACTTGTAATTAAGAAATCGCCATAATCTCATTCATCACAGCTCATCTCCTAACCATTTCATTAACTCAAATAATTGTAATTAATTTTGAATCTGAGGAAACCATTGTTTTTCTTTATAAAATGAAATCGAAGTCAAAGAGGTGTGGGACTCCACGCATCTCAATGTTAGATCTAATCTTTTTTTTTTTGGTTGAATGTTAGATCTAATCTTATGTTATATATATATATATACATACACACATACACGGGAGCATGATCTTATTAACAGTACCAAAGATTTATATATATATATATATATATATAGAAGGGGTTACAGATATCGAATTCTCTACGCGTTAACCACAAGTCGCATATATATTCAATTTCGTTTGCAACCCTACACATAAAAATATATTTTTCTATTTTTCCCTATTTACATTCGTTTTTTCTTATGAAAAACAAATAATGTTCCAAAGATATTTTTTTTCGTTTTTTAAATGTTTTATTTTATTTTCTATAAAATAATTTAAGTTAATACCTATTGAAGAGGAGTACGACCATTTATTTATCTCAGCAATGGATAACACATAATAATTTAATATTAATTTATTATATTTGAAATAAAAACAAATTCTCTCTCTGTGTCTCTGGGCTCGGAGGAAAGTTTCTCTACCTTGGGCTTCTTGAATTGGGCCCTTTGTCCTTATCATTTTTCAAAAACACAAAAATAAGAAAGTAATCCATAATTTGGAAAACCAATTTAATTTAAATTAGAAAAATATATAATGAAAAAAATACAAACCAGATTCAATTCAAATAAAATTAAACTTGAAATTAAAGGGCATGATTCAAATTAAATTCAGTATTAATAATATATAAATTAAATTCTATATAAATAAAAATAATTTGAAAAATAAAATGTTATATTTTTAAATATATGGCCTAAATATCATAATTTTAAAATATATTATTTTTGTTAAAGATGAAAAATATGATAGTTTTATGTGGTTGTGGCCAATTCGGGTTTCGGTTCGGTTATATTCGGGTTCGGTTATTTCAGTTATAGAAAAACTATAACCATTCGATTTTTATATAAATTTCGGTTCGGTTCGGTTCGGTTTTGGTAAAAAGTTCAATTTTCCAAAGAAATTGTCGGTTATTCTCTCGGTTTTTTTTGGTTATTTTTTATTCGGTTCGGTTTTGGTTTTTTTGGATTTAAAAAAATCATAACCGTTCAGTTTTGATGTCGGGTTCGGTTCGGTTCGGCTCGGTTTGGTTATTCGGTTAATGACCGAAATGACCATTCTAATTGACGGTTCAACTTTTCATTAAGTTTATTAGAATTGGTTAGTTTTATTTAAAGATAAAATTAGAAATTATTTTAAAAAATTACCTATTTTTTTTTAAAATGACATCTATTTAGAAATATTTTTTTTTGTCCATAATGTCAACTCTTAAAAAACGGAGAGAGTGTAATAATATCAAAACTATCCAAATGTGAAAATTATATCTCACGCATGCCTAAAAACATAGGCGATAGGGGAAATCCCTAGGTGAGTTGGCAATGAGCATGGTCAACGTACCGAGAGGTTGAGGGTTCGATTCCTTATCCCCTCATCTATCGCCTGTCAGTTACGGTTGATTTACCTTCCACACGTGTGTTGCAGACTCGTGTATGTGGGCTTGAGTTTACTCGTCAGTGTGCCCGAAGAGTAGTAGTTGGGTTCCCAATGTATAAAAAAAACATAGGCGATAATGATCATGGGCGGACCCAATTGGAGAAGAATGGGGGCATATGCCCCCATTGGTTTTCGGTTATTTTTTATTCGGTTCGGTTTCGGTTTCGGTTTTTCATATTTAAGAAAATCATAACCGTTCGATTTTGATGTCGGGTTCGATTCGGATTCGGTTATGTCTTATTCGGTTCAGAGTTATTCGGTTAATAACCGAAATGCCACCCTAGGTGGTATTAGTTAATAGAGAATTTCCTTGGGTTATGCCGTTGCCACGTTCTTGTATTCTCTATGATTTCAGGACAATCTCGGATCAAAGACAGATGAGCTCATGTTCCTTTAATATAACATTTTTAAAAAAAAAATCCCACGAAAGAGAATTCCTTTTGATCAATCACGAACCCACACCTTGATATAACTCTCTGTGTATTTGTTTAAATCGAAAAACTTACATTGCCGCATCCGGAGCTAGAAAAAAGAATATACATTGTAAGTACAGAAATGGCGATCATTTGTCTCGAAAAAAATGGGAAACGGGCAGCGCCTTCAACATAGATAGCACGGCGGTCGGAAGCAATTGTTGTTGGCCGCAACCCTAAACACCCGTTCCCACGTGAAACCGGCATCCGCAGCTTCGAATTCACCATTGAATGGGTTGGCATAAAGGCCAGACAGCATGAATGGATCCTGTCCGAGTATGCAATGAACATGAACCACAACTGTCACAACTGTAATACAATTCCTCCTCCGGTTCCATTTTCAATTCACAGATCTCGCACCACCATCTCCCTCCATCTTTGGCCTCTTCACCAACCCCAAGAACCAGAGGATGTCTGTCTTGTCTACACTCGTTATATCATTTCCTTTGTCCTAGTATTTCACATAGCGTTCTCCTAAAGTCCTTAACACACCGGAAAGTGCACAAGACATGATCATCTGTCTTGAAAATACTCGGGAATGGGCAGCGCCTCTGGCATTGATGGCATAACGGTCGACAACGACTATTGTTGGCCGCCACTTCTAACTCGGGCGCCCATGGGTGGGAATAATGGCCAGGCTTCATTAGTGTACCCTCTCCGAGGATGCAATGGACATGGACAGTGACACAACAAGTGTCACATGTGTAGTACATTTCCTCCTCCGGTTCCATTTTCCCCTCACATATCTCGCACCACCAGCTTCCTCCATCTTTGGCCTCACCACCACCGCCTCCAAGAACCAGAGGGTGTCGGTCTTGCTTATATCTTACCTTAGTCGGTAAAGTTATGCACCTGAAACACAAGATGACGGAGTCGCATTCAATGCACTCCATCTTCTTACGCTTAGAAGTTCCAAGGCCTTTGCAACCAGAACATGTTTGGTAACAATTCGATATTGATGTGGAGAACAAAGGATGTGGGTGATTTGTATGGATAAAAGGCTCTGAGACTGAAGCACAATTCACATCTACTATGAAACCACAATCGTTGCAACATTTGTATATGAATCCGCAACATTCACGATCACAAACGTCGCATACCACGCTAGATGTTCCGAAGGCTTGTAGTTCTAGACGGTGTGGATGTAGCATGTACCACATCTTCCTTGGTAGATTTGCACATGTTTCGTGGATAACGAAATCGCAATCACCTGTAATACACCTGTAGATATTTCCGATGTGGGTGTGAGTTGGAAGAGCGCAAATTTCACAGAACTCGCTTCGCCCAGAGCTAATGTCATCATCCTCGTTCAGTTTAAGATGATGTTGGTGACTGAAATGACGTATCACTTTGTCATCAATAACCTCGAATGGTGCCTCGACGTCTTCGGGTTCTTCGGGTACTCCATAAAGGTCTATCCCGTCCCATACATCTTCTCTTGTTGCACACTTTGAATGGACAGTACAACGGCAATTTTCTTTGACGCAAGAATATGCACCATAATGGTTGTGGACAACTTTGCGACAAACTCCACATGACCACGATGATGATTCATGAGGTGGTGGAGGGGAAGGAGAGAAAACATAGAAGAGACGATGTTGTGGATGGCGTGAGATCCTGATAACGCGTGGTAAGTCAATACATTCTCTATGGAACATGACCCCGCACTCGAGACAAGCCCAAGGAAGAATGGGGCCGTCGAGCAGCAAACCACAGGCATCACACGTGAAGAGACGCGGTTTAGGGAGGAGGAAGAGCTTATGGACATGGCTCTTGGGCTGATCCACCTCAAGAACCGGCGGCTTCTTGGCGCATTTCAGGTGCATGAAGAATGTGCAGGTAGAACAGGAATAAGCCCATTCTTTTCCGAGTTTTCCTCCGCAACATCTGCAGATGTCAGAAGATTCAAGGGGACGGAGAGAGAGAGGGTGAGGAGGATGATAAGGGTGGTCCTTCAGCTCCATTGGGGATTCGGCGCATTCCCTGTGGAAGTTACCTCCGAAGCAAGTTACGCACCAGTAACCTTCGACTCCTGACGAGGAGCTTTGTACAGAAGCGCACAAAACGCAGTGTAAACCTGACATGTTAAAAAGGGCCAAAGGGTGAGGGTGGACAGGGAGCCGTACAAACTCCATGGCTCTCCAAGATTTTTTTTTTTTTTTGGTATGGGTATGGTGCGGCTGATTTGATTGAGCGGATCATCCTTCCTTCTTTATATAACTAAAATCTAAAATTCATTATTAATATTATTTTCAAAACTTGTTCATGGTGGATCCCCGCCAATACAGCCAATAATCCCAATCCCGATAAAATATATAAATTACCTTTGAATTCTTCATATCATATAGATCTGAATCATCAGCACGTCTCTTCCCATTTCTTTACATAATATAGAACTGATTATATATATATATATTATGTGTCTTGTAAAACCATTTTATTTGGGACAATTTGCCTGAGAATGGACATATTTTACTCATTCTTCCTCATTATATAATCTTCTACTTGTAATTAGGAATCACTATAATCTCATTCACAGCTCATAAGTTAAAGACGACATCTCATGGTGACTGTCTCCTTTAACTTCCGTTTTGGTCGGTTTTTAAAATATATAAACTCAAATAATTGTATTTTGAGTCTTAAGAAACCATTTATTATTATTATTATTATTATTAAATGAAATCTAAGTCAAAGAGGTGTGAGACTCCACGCATCTCAACGTTAGATCTAATATCATTAAATTCATCATGCACTTGCTCTCTCTCTCTTTTGTTTACTGACGAGAAAACAACTTGTCGACTTGTTAAATCCAAAAGAAAATAATAAATCTGTCGATGCACAATAGGAATCTGTATGATTATTACCACATTCAAAGAACTATATGGGATTAATAAACTAGGCTTATGGTAAGGACATTAATGTTCGAGTATGTTGGCTGCATGCGAAGGCAAATACATAACGCAGGGTTTTTGTTCATTCTATGAAATGCATAGACAATTTAAAGTACAGAAAAGAAGATCATTTTGCTTGAAGACAATGGGGAATGGGCAGCGCCTCCGACAAATTTGGCATATGGGCCGGCAACAACTGTTGTTGGTCGTAACTTCAAACGCTTGTTCCCATGGGTCGGCATAACGACCGGGCTTCATGAGTGGATCCCGTCCGAGGACGCAATGGACATGGACAGTGACACAACAACTATCAGACGTATAGTACATCTCTTTGTCTGGTTCCATTTTCAACTCAGAGATCTCGCACCACCAGCTTCCTCCTCCTGTGGCAGCCTCTTCTTCTCCTCCGCCGCCGCCAAGAACTAGAGGATGTCTGTCTTGCTTGTAACTGACCTTAGACGGTAGAGTTATGCACTCGAAACGTAAGTTAAAGTCGCATTCGATGCATTGCATCGTCTTACGATTATAACTTTCTCGTTCCTTGCACCCTGAACATGTGTGGCTGTCGATCAAATTCGACGTTGGGAACAACGGATGTGGGTGAGTTATATGGATAAAGGGTTCATACACTGACGCGGAATTCACATCTACTTTGAACGGACAATCCTCGTTGCAACATCTATACGTGAAGCCATAATAATCCCGAGCACAAACGTCGCACATCTTAAGTTCTTTTCCGCGGGCCTGTAACTTGAGACGATGGGGATGTAACATATACCATGTTTTTCTCGGTAGGTTAACACATTTTTCGTGGAGAATGAAATCGCAATCGCACTGCATGCAGATGTAGATATTTCCGATGTTAATATGAATGGGAAGAGCGCATATTCCACAGTGCTCGCTTCCATCAAAGCTTACACTTACACCACCATCATCATCATCCTTGTTCAGTAGTTTGAGATGTTCATGACTAAAATGGCGTATCACTTTGTCATTTATGACCTCGAATGGCGGCTCGATGTCTTCGGGTTCTTCGAGCTCTCCCTCGAAGTCTCTCCCGTCCCACACATCTTCTCTCGTTGCACACTTTGAGTGAACAATATAATAACGACATTCGTCTTTGATGCAAAAATATGCACCGTATTGGTTGTGGCCGACTTTGGGAAAAACTCGGCAGGACCATGATGATTCATGAGTTAGAGGAGGTGTAGGAGAGGAAACGTAACAGAGACGATGTTGTGGGTGGCGAGAGATCCTGATGACACGTGGTAAATCCATGCACTCCCTGTGGAGCATGGCACCGCACTGGTGACAACCCCAAGGAAGAGAAGGGCCGTCGAGCTGTAGACCACAAGCATCACATGTGAAGGGACGTGGTTTAGGGAGGAGGATGAGTTTGTGGTCATGGCTCTTGGGATGATCCACCTCAAGAACCGGCGGCTTCTTGGCGCAACGGAGATGAATGATGAATCTGCAGATAGGACAGTGATAAACCCATCCTCCTCCGAGTCGTTCTCCGCAGCAGCTGCATGTCTCTGAAGAAGCTTCAGTGTCGGCAGGGGGACGGAGAGAAAGAGAGTGAGGAGGGTGAGGAGGGTGAGGGAGCTTTAATGGCGATTCAGCACAATCCTTGTGGAAGCCAGGGAAGCAAGTTCTGCACAAGTAACCTTCGATTATGCTGGAAGAATCTTCTGTACGAAAGCACATACTGCAGCGGCTACCGGACATGTCCCAAGGTGTCAAAGGGTGACGGTGGACAGGAAGATGGAGTAACTCTTCCTCCTCCTCCTCCATTGCTATCTATCTGATATGAGATGGTTATTTTCTGTATTGATCTCTCTTCTTCGCATAACAGATAAGATCTAGAAGACCATATCTTCCCATTTTAGTAATTCTCTTACAAATTCTGTATTTATTACACATGCGTTCGTGGATCTCAATGTCCGAAACACGACAGCTGTTTGTGATTATCTTATTCACACTCACCATAGTCCCCGTTGACTCTAATAAACTCGTTAGAAAGAGCAATTATGAAAGTGTAATCGCTGATATACTATATTTAAAAAAACCCACCAATTTGTGTGGATATGAATAAAACAAACAATGTTCCATCCAACTTAACGAAGAGACCGTTCGCTATTCTAAATTCTTGGTGCTGAGGTTTGATTGAGAGAAAGCTTCTAATTCTCTTGGAGGATTCGGTTTTGATAAACCGGGAGGTTCAACATTAATGAACCGATTCGGTTTGGAGATTAGGGTTAAAATTAAACAACCCATCTCCTCTTCCTTCTTTTCTTCTTTGGTGATCGTGTTGTATTTTTTTTTGACAGAGGCAGGGGAGAGAGAGACATCAGCGGAGTGGAAGATCGGAGGCGGAGCTCGGCGGTGTTCAGGTCGGAATTGACGGTGAAGCTCAGGTAGTGTCATCCTGACCTTGAGTTGTCGTTCTTCTTCGGGTTTTCTTTCTCCGGCGAGCCTCGGGGTTGTCGAGGTCGTCAGAACTTGTCTAAACTACGATCCTAGTGTATTTGCCGGTGTCGCCCGACTGAGATATATGTTTGAGCTCTGCTCGATGACTGAACTCGTAAAACTCCGATGTGTTCTTTCGTTTTCGGTTTATGTTCTATCGAGGTTCAAATCGGAGGGAACGTGAGAGGCATTGTTTACACTTGGTCATTCATTACTCATTCCTTAAATGCTGACCTTAATGCCTCCTTTCCCATATCGATTGAAGTCTTCTTAAAAACGGCACAAACCTTCCAGGATGGACAGAGGGTCTGGACTGGAGGCCTAGCCGAAAATCGATTTGGGGTTTCACTTCACTTTTAGGGTTCTTCATAGTTTGCGCTTCTGGTTCTTCTCAGCTTGTAATCATCCGATGGGCTTGGTTTTGAATTTTTAAATTTGAATCCTTTTATCATAGTATCATTCAATATTAAAGCACAATATAACAACCCTCACTGAAGCTCCAACATCACACGAGCTACACTTTGTTTCAATGGTATGAAACTCATGTCGGTGGGGATGCAGAATGTGTCGTGTCTTTCCTGAAAGCTCCCCGTCGTAGAGGTCGAAGCCTTTGTGTCACGTAGTCTTGATGCTCTGAACTCAGTTAGACAGCTGAGAGAACAGAAATGGCGATCCTTTCTCTTGAAAACAACGGGGAACGGGCAGCGCCTTCGACATACATGGCATACAGGTCGACAACAACCGCTGTTGGCCACAACTTCAAACTCCTTCAGCCATGCGAAGGAATGATTACCGGGCTTTACGAGTGGATCCCGTCCGAGGATGCAATGGACGTGGACAGTGACACAACAACTGTCACATGTGTAATACATTTCCTCGTCTGGTTCCATTTTTCCTTCGCAGATCTCGCACCACCAGAATACGTCACCCCCGCCAAGAACCAGAATAAGAGGATGCCCGTCTTGCTTGTACCTCACCTTTGACGGTAACGTTATGCATTTGAAACACAAGACGAAGTCGCATTCTACGCATTGCATCATCTGCTTTTTATGCTCCTTTTTGCAGCCCCGACATGACTGACGTCTCGTTGAAAGCGACGTGGAGAAGAGAGGATGAGGGTGAGTGATATGGAAAAAGGGCTCTGAGACTGAACCGCAAACCACGTCTACCTCGAAACAACAATCCCCTTTGCAACATGTATATATGAAGCCACAACACTCTCGAGCACAAACGCCACATATTCTAAAACGTGTTTCGCATGCCTCTAGTTCGAGACGGTGGGGATGTAGCATATGCCATATCTTTCTCGGTAGATTGGCACATTTTTCGTGGAGGACGAAATCGCAATCATAATCTTTGCAGCTATAGATATTACCCGAGTGAATACGAATAGGAATACCGCATGCTTGACAGTGCTTTCCTCCATCAAAGTCGACATTGCCATCTTTCAATTTAAGATGATGTTCATGACTGAAATGATGTATCACGTTGTCATCTATAACCTCGAATGGCGGGTCGACATCTTCGGGTTCTTCGGACACTCCCTCAAGTTCTACCCCATCCCATACATTTTTTCTCGTTCCACACTTTGAATGAACGATGTAGTGACAGTCATTTTTGATACAAGAATACGCCCCATATTGATTGTGGACGACTCTACGACAAACTCCACATGACAATGATGATGGATTTGGAAGTGGAGGGGGAGAGGAAACGTAACGGAGACGATGCTGCGGGTGGCGGGAGATCCTGATGAGGCGTGGTAAGCAGATACACTCTCTATGGATCATGACCCCGCATTCGAGACAAGCCCAAGGGAGAGAGGGGCGATCTAACTCTAACCCACAGACATCGCAGGTGAAGGGACATGGTTTAGGGAGGAGGAAGAGTCTATGGCCATGGCTCTTGGGCTGGTCCACCTCAAGAAAAGATGTATGGACAGTGATATGCCCATTCTATCCCGAGTCGTTCTCCGCAGCAACTGCATGTCTCCGAAGCTTCGTGGAGGAGAGGGTGGAGGAGGGTGAGAAGGTGAGGAGGGTGATAAGAGTGGTCTTTCAGCTCCAATGGCGATTCGACGCATTCTTTGTGGAATTCGAGAGAGCAGCTTATGCATTTGTAACCTTCGATCCTCGAGGAGTTTGGCATAGAAAAACACAGACAGCAGCAGGAGAGACCGGACATATCAAAAGGTGTCAAAGGATGAGGGTGGATTGGAAACTTGACCAACTCCATCTCCAACGTGACAATCTTTTTTTTTTTTTTTTTAAATAAATGGGTAATGGATAATCAAATACAGAGTGGGTTAGGGGGTGACTGGTTGTACCGCTACCAACCGCAAACGGAGCAGTTGCGGTTTCTGGCGATTGGTGGCGGTTGTAAAACTGACTGGTCCAACCGCAGCGAAACGTAACCGCAATAAAACTTCAAAAATTAAAACGCTGCTTCTCACCTGCGTTTTAGCAGCGTTTCATAGCGTTTATAGAAAAAGACCAAAATACCCTTGAAAATAATAAAACCCTAACTCTCTTTTTCTTCTATTCTTCTCACATGTCTGTCCGTGGAAAACCTGTGTTCGCATCGAGCCGTCGACCCAGCACCTAGATCGTCGGAACTTGCCGGAGCTCGCCGGAGTTTTCCGGACTTCGTCATCTTCGTCGTCTCTTGGTATGTCTATGTCTCTATTTTGTGTTTATCCCCTTTTCTCTTCTGTTTTTTTTTTTTCCAGATTTCGTTTGAATACTTGGATTTATCATTTCATTTGAAAATCCCTGTCGAGTTCACAGATAATACTTTTACACAAAATGGGTTTTGTGGGTTTTGGATTCTTTTCTGGATGTAGCATTTACGGAATGGATTTTAGATTCTGTTTTGGTATAAAATGGGTTTTAGATTCTACTTTGGCCATGAAGTGTGTTTTACGTGGTTGAAAATATGGATCTATTTTTTCTTAAGTCAATGCCTATGGATTTGATTCCTTGTTTCTCCTGTACCTGAATGCACGTAGCCAAGAAGTGTGATTTATGTTTGTGGGTTTTGCTTTGACTTTTAAGTTTTGAAGGACACTATGGTTGTAGAACTGTGTGATGTCAAATGCAAGTGTTTCTCTCACCGTTTCTTTGTGCATTTTTTGTTGATGCTTGAGAAATCTGTACAAAATTGTGTGTATTTCTAATGATTATAGTTGTTTCGTGAAATGTAATTTTTCTTTCACATTATAAACATTTATTATGTTCATGGGTCTTCATGAGAATGAAAGTTTACAACTAAATATCAGTTTGGGATTTGAGTTTTGACATTGAAGCGTGTTTTATGCAAAATATTATATATAAATATATTGTTGATGACTTCGTTTAGTATATATATATATATTATTGATGACTTGTTTAGTATTATGTTTTGAATTTATTTTTTGATATCATATTTTACTAAATTTCATTATCACATAATTATAAAATTTTTAAATTTATCAATAATTATTTTTGATATTTTTATCAAAAATTATTTTTTAATTAAATATAAATTAAATTGATAGAATTTATATTTTAAAATATTTTATATAATTATTTATAAATTATATAAAATATTTTTTTATCAAATGATAATATAAAATTAATTGTAATTGATTTAAAAAATTATTTTAAAATCATGTCCTTTTTGGTAATTTATATCCAAACGCAACCGCAACCGTGTACAACCATTCACTCTTACTCGCAACCAACCGCAATCGCCACCAACAGTCATTTACAAACCAGTCAGTACCAATCGCCTACAATCGCTAGCAAACACTCTAAAAACGCTATCATCCGCAACCGCAACCGCTGCGGTACAACCAGTCGGGCCATTACTTGAGTGAAATGATGTAAACATAGATCTTAATTAAAGATCTGCTAGATTTGAATAATGGACAGACCACGTGGTTTCCCACTGTTCCATATTCCAATACGCGTGATTAGTTTTTTACATTATCTTTAAACTTTAAAATAAAAATAAGTTTATATCTGTCTTTTCAACTTTTTTTTTGTTGTTGCTTAATTCTTATAGTTAAAGGTTTTTAATAAATAAGAAATTAATTCTTTTTTTGTTGTTCCATATTCCAATATCTTTTTTTATTATTTGTCCCAATAATTATGACTCTTTCACTTTTCATTTTTGCTATTCCAATGAAATTTTACATTAAATTATACCAACATGGACCAACATGGTTTTACTACACCAAGAGCAATGCCAAAAACCTCCACTGCCAACATGGACCGACATTTTTTTTTACAAGAAAAGAATTTTAAATTATTTTGTAAAAAAAATGGAAAATAATTTTTTTTATTCAATTTCTTAATTATTGCACGAAAGCCCATAGGTAATGGCTAGTGCAAAAATAAAGACCATTTCTCTTGAAGGCAATGGGGAATGGGCAACGGTTTAGACAATGATGGCAAGTGGGTCGGCAACAACGGACGTTGGCTACGACTTCATAATCCTCCTCGCAACTTGTCGAATAACGGCCGGTCTTCACGTACGGCTCCTCTCCCAGAATGCAACGGACATGCACAGTGACGCAACAACTGTCACATGTGTAATACATTTCCTTGTCTGGTTCCATTTCCTCTTCACAGATCTCGCACCACCAGCTTGCGACCTCTTCTCCTCCACCGCCGCCGCCAAGAACCAGAGGATGTCTGTCTTGCTTGTACCTCACCTTTGGTGGTAGAGTTATGCATTTGAAACATAAGTTAAAGTCGCATTCTGTACACTGCATCTTGTGAGGTTTATCTTCGTCTTTACAGCCCGAACATGCATCGCCACGCATCGAGATTGACATGGAGAAGAGAGGATGTGGATGGGTTATATGGGTTAAAGGTTCCGAGACTGAAGCGCAGTTCACGTCTACTTTGAATCCGCAACCCTCTTTGCTACATGAATATATATAGCCGCAACATAGCCGGATACAGACGTCACATCCTGCCATATCTATTATCTGCAATTCGAGACGGTGGGGATGCAACATGCACCATATCTTTCTCGGTAGATTGGCACATTTTTCGTGGAGAGCGACATCGCAGTCGCGCTTCATGCAACTGTAGATATTACCCAAATGAATACGGATAGAAAGGGCGCATATTCCGCAGTGTTTGCTTCCATCAAAATCTGCACCATCATCCTCGTTCAGTTTGAGATGATGATCGTGACTGAAATGGCGTATCACTTTGTCATCTATAACCTGGAATGGCGGCTCGATATCTTCGGGTTCTTCAGGGAATCCCTCGAGGTCTACCCCATCCCACACGTCTCTTCTTGTTCCGCATTTGGGATGGACGACGTAATGACAGTCATCTTTGATGCAAGAATACGCACCGTAACGGTTGTCAACGACTTTGCGACAAACTCCGCAAGACCATGATGGTTCACGAGCTGGCGAAGGGGGAGGAGAGGAAACGTAACAGAGACGATGTTGCGGGTGACGAGAGATCCTGATGACGCGTGGTAAGTCGATACACTCTCTATGGATCATAGCCCCGCATTCGAGACAAGTCCATGGAAGAAAGGAGCCATCGAGCATCAAACCACAAGCATCGCAGGTGAAGGGACGTGGTTTAGGGAGGAGGAATAGCTTATGGTCGTGGCTCCTGGGTTGAGCCACCTCAAGAGCCGGTGGCCTGTTGGCACAACGCAGATGGATGAAGAAATCACAGATCTGGCAGCGATATGCCCATTCGCCTCCGAGTTCTTCAGCGCAACAACTGCATAACTCCGAGCCTTGAAGAAGATGATGGCCATGGGGGAGGAGGGAGAGGGAGTGAGGAGGGTGATAAGGGTGGTGATGGAGCTCCAATGGAGATTCAGCACACTCCTTGTGGAAAACACCATTGATGCAAGTTACGCAGTAGAAACCATCGAATCCACCGGAGGTATCTGATAGACGAAAGCACATACCGCAGCGGCGGGAACTTGACATGTAGCATGGTATCAAAGGGTGAGGGTGAGTAGGAAGCTCCTTCTCCATCGCTCTCTGATTTCTGAGTTTGAGAGACAGAGAGAGAGAGAATCCAAATCTCCGTAAACTCGGTAAACTAAAAGGGAATCTCTGTGTGCACATGGACGGTGCCACCAGGATAAGTGTTTAATTGTCGAATTCCAAGGCAACAACGACTAATATACTATATTTAATAAGAAAAAGTAATGTGTGAATATAATAAGAAAAAATATGTTGCCGATTATCTTTTCAATTACTTTTGAAAAGATCATATTATTACCACAGACAGAACTAGATAGAATAATAAACTGGTTTTATGGTAAAAACATTGTTTGACTGGAAGCAAACAAGTGAAACTTGATAGTAATAGTAGCGATCTATGTAAGTAAAGGTCTTATGTAGCAGCTTCACAACTAGGAAGAATCTATCTACTTCCACCGCTTGAAGAACTTACCCTTGTGCTTACCAAACATGCCGTGTTTCCACCGCTTCCCGAACTTCCCGTGCTTGAATTTTCCATGCTTGAATTTGCCGTGGTACCCGTGGTGCCCGTAGTGGCCATGGGCCATATGGTGAGCTCCAGCTGCCGCGGCTGGTG